TTTATTTCATGTATTTAGTTTGCTTTCCTCCTTAATTTCAGTGTATATGAAACTATTGGTTATCAGGCTTATAGGTTATAGGCTTGCAGTCAGGGCACTCCTTTAGATGTCAGCTGTATGAATGTTAAGCTTTAACTCATTTTGTGAAGTGCAAGAATAGAATACCTAAAGAGGAAATACTATATCTACTTGCTTGAGAAAGGACCCTTCCTTTCAGAGGTCAAACACATAGAAGGAAGTTAGTTTACTCAGACACACACAAGTACAATTTCTGCCTGTTTTACAGGAATTTCAAAACTAAAGTTAATTCCAAAAGTTTTTTTTTAAACAAAGTCCAATTTCATCCCTTAGTGCTCCATTCTTTTCCCATCTCAATTATTCGGTCCAAGGCAATTGCAAGTGGGCTCCAAGATGCCATTTAGCTGCAAAATGTTAGCTCATTTGGTGCATGCATTAGAGTTGAAAGGCAAAGATTCCTTCAAAACTAATCCTTATAGGTCTCAAGGAAATAATGCCAGCAAACTGCAGGTGGCAGTGATCACCAGTCACCATTTGTGACTCCTTAGATAATGAAGCAGTCTGCAACCATATGCAGCTAGACCTGGACAGCGTCTAGGTTTAAAATGTAGCAAGTAACATTTGAGCCACAGAAGTGTCAGGCAATTACCATTCCAAACTGGGGAGAATCTAGCCATTGCCCCTTGATGTTCAATGACATTACTATGTCTGGATTTCCCCCACTATCAAAATCCTGAGAATTATTATTGACTAGAATGTGACTGGACTAGTTATATAAATGCTGTGGAAATAAGACCATACCAAAGCCTGCTTTTGCCAAAGAATTGTGTGGTGAGTAACTCACCTCCTATCTCCACAATGCCTGAGCACCATGTACAAGGCGCAGGTCAGGAATAATTTCCATTTGCCCAGATAGGTGCATCTCCAACAATACTCAAGAACCTCAACACCATCCAAGACAAAACATCCTACTTGATTAGCACCCAATCCACCACCTTCACTTTTCACTGTCTACACCACTGATGCACAGTGTGTACCACACACAAGATGCACCGCAGTAACTCACCTAGCTATTTTAATAGTACCTTCCAAGCCTGCAATCCACCTGAAGTACAGGGCAGCAGATGCATGGGAACACCACAATCTGCAAGTTCCCCTCCAAGCCACTCATCAACCTGATTTGGAAATATATCACTGTTCCTCAACTGTTGCAGGATCAAAGTCCTGGAGAGCTCTTCCTTACAATATTGCAGGTGCCCCTATTCCCCAAGGACTGCTCGATACCACTTTTTCTGGTGCATTTAGGGACAGACAATAAATACTGGCCTAACCAGTGACACCCCTGTCATGTGACTGAATAGAAGTTAAAAGGTGCCATTTAACATCACTGCTGACGATGATACAGACTTTGATGTTATGACGGAAAATTAAGCCACCTGCTACTAAACCTGCCACAGGGATTTCATCAACTGGGAGTGTGGTGAGTTTGTATCCTGCCACCATCCTGCCTTCTCCCCATTTGCCCCGGTGCGAAACCTGTGGACGGCCCTCTGGCCCTGCTGCCAAATGAGGGCCTTAAATGGGCATTTAATACCCACGTAAGGCCTGCGCCTGACTGCTGCTGGTATTAACTCATTGGCAATCAGGGGCCCACATGAAGGTACAAAGGCTGATCCAGGGGACCCAGCATCAGGACACCCATTGAGAACCTCTCCCTTGCTTTTGCCCCTCCTTTGACCTCCCCCGACCCTACCCCATTGCTCACCTTGGCGTGAATTTCTGTGACCGTCCTAGGTCTGCTACAGCCAGCACCTCCCTGGTGGTGTTGCTCTTCAATACAGTGACTAGACCATGATTGGCTGGGCAGCCCTCTTTGACCATAGGAAGGCCTTAATAGGTTGATTGGAAAAAGATACGACAGACCTCCTCTAATTGAGGTGGCACAAAGCTTCGACCAGCTAGCCCTGCATGTGAATGGCGTGCACCCTTTGAAGTTGTGCCATCAGCAAGGGCAGCCTCAATCTTTGGTCTAACCAATATGCAGCTCCTTCTCATGGTGCTTCAAAATACTCCAGTTGGTATCATTAACAGCATCAGAATGCATCTCCTGTTATGTTTATAAACTAGATTTGGGGCAGAATCACGTGTGACTTGAGCCTGAGCTGTCATTCGGCACTGCATACAGTCACTGTAACATCTACCATTCATTTCCCAATAGCTGAGAGATACAGTTATACTGTCTCCACTATCACCGGTCTGTTCACTCTGAGACATGCACAAAGTAGCAAATCTATGTTTCATGTGCTATCTTCAAATGTTGCAATACTAACAGGAAAGCATTGCAACTTTGCCTTTACGGAACAGATTACACACTCTGTGCAACCCTGCTTCCTCTTCCTTTGGTTTGGTCTGTAATGTCATGACTAATAATCCCACACAGAAGTCATGTTACCGTCATTGTAATCCCATTTATTTGGCTCTTAGAAAGTGGAGTCTCAATGCACAACAATTTAGTCACAAAGATGTAAGCAGCCCTTTGCTATATTTGGCTAATTGGTAGCACCTGTATCTGAATGAAAAGCTAATGTTCCATTCCAGCATTTTTACCTTGAAGCTACTGTTTCAAAGCCCCACTCGAGAGAGGGCTATATTATCAGTGATGGTAGCTGCTGGGTGAAAGAAGAGTTCTTCAGCCTCTGCCAGGGTTGGGGGCAAAATGGGAGGAAGCTTGTTTAGTGTCAAAGTGATCTGCTTTTGTAGTGTTGGTTAAGGAATAAATACTGGCAAGGCCACCAGGAATAACTCCTTTGTTCTACTTCACAATAGTACCTTGGGACTTTCTCATCCACTTGAGAAATCAACTCCAACAGAGCAGCACTCCCTTAGTATTGCACTGGAGTGCCAACTTTGAGTTTTTTTTTGTGCGTTCAAATACTGGAGAATTAAACCTGAAATTTTGTGAATTCAGAGGCAAGAGAGCTACCAACTGAGCAACAAGGAAGTTTGCACAGTGCAACAACAATGCAAGAAGTTCACCAAAGCTTTGTAGCTATGTCTGAGCATTGGTGGTGTGGTCTATCACTGGCAACTAGGCAAGTGGAAAAGAAACAAGAATGTAGCTGGAAACCTATAAAGTGCCGCAGCCAAAAGACTTAAAATCATGCTCGGGAAATTTTACCATAACCTTGCTTTGATATATCTAGAATCTGTGGAGACACGCATACATTTGCTGTGTTAGCTGCCTGGGCTTAAACACTATTATCAGCTCTGGGCATGCCTCAGTGAAACTGAAATATAAATAAAGTGGGAAGTTGGTTAGATGCAATGGTGACTTTGACACCACAGCAATGCTTTCAGTGTGCTAGATTCTGTATCGAACTCTGCCACATACTCTCTTGTGAAACAGAGGTGTTGAAAACACACATCCTCAAGCATTTTCATATGGATGTGCTGGGTAATGAACGTTTGTTCATTTCTGTCCGTGTATAAAGGGACAAGTGCCTCATTAAAGCAATGATGTAGGAAACATGGAAAGTCATTGTTATATGCTTTTACCTGACTGTTTTTATATTCATGTATGGAATGTGGGTGTCACTGATAAGGCTGGCATTTGTTGCCTTAGAACAGATTGCTGTCTAGATCATTTCACAAGGCAATTAAAAGTCAATAACATTGCTGTGCATCCAGAACAATATGAGGGCCAGACCAGGTAAGCACATCAGATTTCATTCCCTAAGGGACATTAGTGAACCACATGGTTTTTCAAGACAATCAACAATGGTTACATGGTCTCCATCAAACATATTTTTTATTTCCAGAATTTTTTCTATCAACTTCAACCGTCCGCCATGGCAGGATTCGAACACATGTCCTCACAACATTAAAATAAAACAAAGAACTGTGGATGCTGCAAACCTCAAACAAAAGCAGAAATTGCTAGAAAAGCTCAGCAGGTCTGACAGCATCTGCGGGGAGAAAGTTTGATTGTTTTGAATCCAATGATCCTAACTGATGGTATCTAGAAAAGGCGGTATTTATGGTGAGGACAGGAGGTGGTGGGGGAAAGTAGTGAGCAGATAGGTGGACATAGAGCCCAGAGAGAAAAAGGGATGGATGATAGTATGCTCAGGAGAAGGAAAAGCTGATCATGGGGACCACAGTAGGTGCAATAGTTTGGCTGTGCTGAAAGCAGCCCATATCTTGTCAGGGCCTGTGGTGTGGGTGTGGGGAAAGGACATGGAAAAGGGTGTTCAAGCTCTAAAATTATTGAACTCAATATTGAGTTCTGAAGGCTGCAGGGTCCCCAAGTGAAAAATGAGATGAGGTTCTTCAAGCTTGCCTTGAGCCTCGCTTACAATCATCCTGTCTCTCTGGGTTCCATGTCTGCCTATGTGCTCACTCCTTTTCCCCTTAGCCCCTGTCTTCCGTATAAACACCACCTTTCCTGGGTACTATCAGTTCTGAAGAAGGGTCACTGGACTCAAAATGGTGACCCTGTTTTCTCCCCACAGATGCTGCCAGACCTGCTGAGTTTCTCCAACAATTATTGGTTTTATTCCTCAACAACGTTAGTTGGATCTGTGAATTACTAGCCAAGTGATCCAGACTGCATCTCTCATCTGGAACTAGCTGATGGGTCCATATAAAAGTTATTAGGGGCCAAGTGTGTCTCTGTTCGGCTTGCTGTACTGACTACCCAGAAAGATTGCAGGTATCCTTCCAGATCTAACTGTGGAAAACCTGAATTTATTGAGTTAACCCCAGATCTCCACCCCAGTATTGTAATTTAACTTGCAGGGAGAGAGTGGGGTTTCTATACAGCAACCAAAAAACTCTACAATTTTCTTTGGATGGCTGGGATAGGCTGGGGTAGTGGTGGGATGGTGTTAATGTTACAGTGGTAGATAAGTTAAAACTTCTCTTGACTGTCAGCCTCCATTCTCAGCCACTGCTCCAGTAAAATGCCTTGACTTGTACCTCAGACATATATCGGCTCAGTGCTCATCTCAGTAAACCCTTTCAAACAGATGCCTTACTTCACAGACAGGGAAATTGAAATTTATCAAGGAGCTGTAAGTAAATGTTTAATTTACTATCTTCTTTTCCCAAAGCAAACCTCTAGTATTAACCAGCAACCCTTACATTTTGTAATTATCCTGCAATACACCTATTGTGTTTGTCTATTCTGTATTTTTCTTGTCTGTGGATGTGATTCTGTGGTCGTGTCAGTAGCACAATCCTGTACTGTTGGCTGCTGGCAGATGTAGTCAGTGAGTGGAAGAATTTGCCTCTCAAAACATCTTTCTCAAATACTCATAATAAAATTTAAAACATTTTGTTTCTGGTCAAATCCGCACCTACATTCAAGCTGGTTGCCGTTCTTAGTTGAGCTGAAAGATTTCTGTTGTAAACGAAGACCGATGTGTGGTTGACCTATTCATTTTTTGAGAAAAAGTGGTTTTTGCACCTTTTCAATGTCATTTTTATCCCTCCCTTGCAAGCCTGAATGTATAAGCTATTTCATAGACAATGACATCATCACCCAGTACAGTCCCAAGCTGTAAACATCTACATTCAGTTGAACAACCATAGGCATCACAGTTAAGTGTGATCCTATCTTAGATTGGTAAACTCATCAAAAAGGTCACTGGATAAGTATCGGAATCGGCAATAATCCACGAAGATCCACTTCAGATGCTGAAAGTTGGTCATCAAGTCAGAAATTCTTGGAAATATTCTACAGATAATTCAGAGTGGGATGTGTCTCAAGACTGAGAATAACACGTTCCATGAACTGAGTACGCTGACTTCTAAATATATATGGTCTGGCGTCAGACAAGGATGCGTAGATAACTGCTGATATTTTCTCATTAACTGCAGCGTGCCCATATTTTTCAATTACGATACTTTAAATATGAGCTACTATTTTAATATGCGTGTGAGGATGGAGAAGGGGAAATCAGATTGTTATACTTCATAAAATTGCCAGTCTTATACTATCTATTGTGGTAAATTCTAGGTCAAACTATTTAAACATTTTTATTTGAAACAACTTTGATGCCATCATAAGGTTAGTGATATTGTCAGGTCAGGAGTGAACCAAAGTTTATCGCTATTTAGTTCAACATCACTACATATCTACTTTCCTTCACTATTTATAAATCTTCTTTAAACCCAATTTGTTCCCATCTCTTAGAGAGCCAGATAAATTGTAACATAACAAAGTCCATTATGTTAGCTGAAGTAAAAAAGTGTCTTCTGTTTAAAGAAAGAGAAAAGATAAAACCAAGACCACAGCCGTTTAGTGAGAATGCAAGAAGAGTACAAAGAAAGGTCAAATGAGGAAGTAAAAAAAAGAAAGGGCCCAGAACCTGCAACTCAGGATATCTAAAGCACTCAGTGGACATGGAGGGTAAAACTTCAAGAACTCAGCAAGCAGAACCCAAAATAGCTAAACTAAACAAAAAAACTAGTTGAAAAAGCATTAAATGATAAATTCAGTAAAATTAGTGAAGATGATCAGGATGTAGTAGATAAGGAATATTTTTCATGCTCAATTAGTATCAGTTCATCTGTCCATCAATGACTCTTTCACATTAATTGAGCTGATTACTAATTATTTCCGAGGGTTCAGCTCCATTTATAACTTTGGTAATAGATGAGTCCATTGCAATGAACAGCATTTAGGCTTTGGTTGTCAGGTGTTAGAATATGTTCACTCAACATAAGTGCTGGTCATTAGTCATTTCCAACAAGAGGAGCCAGAACTTTCATCCATCCGTCATCACACACACATCAGGTCCTCTGCTATCACCATGTGGGATCCCTGAGAAGCAGTGGATTTCAGGCTGGCACCTTGGCACTTCATGTTTGGCAGGCCATGATTAATAGTCCCGCTTGCTTTTATGTGAGATTAGTGAATTGACAATTGATATAAACGATAACATAGGCCCTCATCTCTATCAGTGTGTAACAGTGGAAATAGTGTACACTATATGTATTCTTTCCCTGTGGCCATACATTTCTTGAAATATTTATTGTGCCAAGAAATTAATACAAAACTAAGGAGGTTATACCTTAGTTATACATGGCATCAGTGAGACCCACATTTGGAGCACTGTATTGGTTTCCTTATTTAAGGAAATGCTTTACTTGTCCCATTGTCATCTTCATTAGTGTAGCACCATTCTTTTTGTCATTCAATCTCTCCTGTCTTCCACTGTGTCACGAACCTTTCTATTTCTTCTTTGTTTTTATGGTTCTGTGCTCACTTAAAATTGTTATACCTTTAACTTGCAGTTCTGATGAAAAGTCACTGATCTAAAATGTTAACTCGATGCATGCTGCCTAACTTGTTGTTCTTAAAGATTATCCCTGCTTCTCCTCCCTCCTAAGTTAGCTGTGTCCTCTGTCATTTTAACATGTGCAGGATCATCCTTGAATGACTGTAAATTTAATTGCCTGCAAGATGAGAGTCATCTAGACTCAAAACATTAGCTTGTTCTCTCTCTGTGGACGCTGTCTGACCCGCTGGGATCTCCAGCATTTGCTGTTTTCAGTACAGATTCCAGCATCTGCAGTAATTTGCTCTTGCATTCAGCAAACCTCCCTGATAGGATGAATGAGATTGGGAACTTATGTTGGGAATGCATTTTAAAATGATGTTTCTAAAATGACCGACATTGTAACATTCTACCAGTTAAGCAGCAGGTCAGCTGTTACCTATACCTATGATATGCAGCAAGAGAAAGCAAAGAGTGAGAAAAGAACATAGTGTTGATTCCTCACTGATTTTTTCAAATGGATGTTATAGCTTCAATGGATACTCTGGATATACCATGTGAAGAAGGAACTTTCTCCATTCTACTGGAAAATTCATTAGAAAAATTCACAATGGAAATTCACAATGGATTAAACTAAAGCTGAATTATGAATGGACATGACTACAGAGAGTTTATAAATAGTTTATTAGTGCAGGATGAAGGACTGTGGCTCACATTATCAGGAAGACACAGCAATAGCATAGAAGACTCATTCTGTGCTATACCTACTTCTACTTTGAATTGAAAGATTCTGTTATGTTCCAATAATAGAATATTTTTCCAACACCTGCACGACCAATTTGTTTTGAACTCTTGTCCTGTAGAAAATAGCTGTGAGAATTTAGTTTGGTGCTAATCAATTTTCAACAGTTTCTTTCATTACAATCTCTGATAATTCCAGGAAAATATATTCATTTCATAAAGGACAGCATTGTGCTGATTGTTAATTGTACCTGTTTTAAATACAATGCTTGACAGTTTTTCCTCTGGTTTAGACAATTTCCTCTTTATTTCCAGGCTCAATATGAAAATCCACCTCATATTTATGCTCTAACAGACAATATGTACAGGAATATGTTGATTGATGCAGAGAACCAGTGTGTTATAATCAGGTATGAAACAGTAACTATTTACTGATTACAGGAAGGGGTAAGCCCATTATACTCTATCCGAATCTTTTATTTATTGCCAATTAAACGTTCCCACAAGATTGCTGACAAGAAAAAATTGCTGACAAACAACTGCTCTATACTATCACAGAGCCACCTTCAAACATTATTACCGCCATGCTTTAAAATTATAACTCTTTAGGTCTTTGAATCTAAAGCAACACACCTCTCATCAAAACTAAAAGGCAAGAGATGAGTTAATGCTTTTTGAAAATATTTCACCGTTCTTTAATGTGGGGTAATCACTGGCTGGGAACTATGACCTGATTTAGCAGTTAAGATGGTGGAAGGAAGTGGACAATTCGTTATCACTTTGAATATGTACAATGGCAGATACTCTATAATGCACACTGTGTATAGTTAAAAACATACCGCTGCTGTTTGAGTTCAACATGCTGTGGTTTGGAACATAAGTCTCCACAACTGTTACTGACAGAGGAACAGGAAGAACGTCCAAGTTATTTATCAAAATTACTTCGGTATATTTTACACATTTGTGGGTAGAACACTTTGGGATGAATTATACAAGATGTCAGTTTCCTCATCTCCTAGCTAAAATGGCAGTGGAAAGCTAAACTATGCTAAACATAGCCGTCCCCCACAGCTATTTCTTGCTAATTGACCATTAATAGGCTGGAGGTGGAACTTTCAATCCTTATGAATCAGGAAGTCTGACCTCACGCAGCCACTGGCCAAACAGAAACTGACTTTCTAGCACTAGCAGCACCATTAGAAGTGGTGGTCACTGTTGGTGCTGCACTTAAGGCTAGAACAGACAAGTGGTGCTGGATTCAGCCCAGCAAAGGAAATGAGTATCTCCCTGGATTGCAAGGCCTGGCAAGAGGCATGGTGGGAGAGGGGAAGTGGGGAGCAGGGCTTGAGAAGACTTGAAACAATTTCTTGATGAAAAACAACTTTATTTGGACTGACGTATTAAATATGTTTGCATTTCTTTTGTAAAATGTCAAAAATTGCTGTGCGTGTGGTGGCCACATGCCAAGTATCTTTGATGCATTCAATTTCTCACTTTCCTTTTCTGAATGTAAAGCCATAGTGGGTATCGTGAATCCTGTTGAAATTATATGAATTACTGTCTGCTGACTGCAATTCTAAGAATGAATGAAATATCCTAGACATAGTGGGAACTGCCGATGCTGGAGAATCTGAGATAACAAGGTGTAGAGCTGGATGAACACAGCAGG